GGGGGGGGGGGGGGGGGGGGGGGGGGGGGGATCACTATAAATTGTGATTCTTATAAAGTGCGTTACTTGAATGAATGTTTAGTCAAATTCTCAGACCACCTCCAAAGAAAAAAAAAATGCTCGAAATTTATTAAGGATTTACGTTAGTTAAAAAAAATATATGTTACAATAATCCAATAAAACAACTGTTTAGAACCAGTCTCTCATTAGCGATATTAAATTGATACACCCCACCCGAAAAGAGCGCGTCCGCCGGAAGGTTAATTAAGGCAATGTGCATTGGACGCCACAGTGCCAATTTTTTTTTCATGGATTCTGATAATTCCATGCCCTTAACACCCCCCCCCCCAAATCATCCCCCCATAAAAAATGGAACTGAAATTAGCTCTAATAGGATACAATTTTCTGAAAGAAACAATGAATTCAGGTATATGGCAAACTCAACTAGCTGCCGCTCTAGATTCTGAACTTGTGCAAAAACATTGTTGGGAGAAGTGAGCCCCTCCTCACTTTTGCCAAGAGCCATCATTGTCCTTGATTTCTGCCCACCTCCCCTAATCAAAATGACAGTGTCTGATTTCTGCCCACCTCCCCTAATCAAAATGACTGTCTGATTTCTGCCCACCTCCGCTAATTAAAATGACAGTGTCTGATTTCTGCCCACCTCCCCTAATCAAAATGACAGTGTCTGCAGCTTTTTAGCGACAAAATAACAATACCTGATGTTGGCAGTTAAAATGATTATTTTGAAAACACAATATATAATTGTCCTTTACTCTTGTATATGTAGTTGGCTAAGATTGCAGGGACTTATTAGGGGGCAAAAAGGAGACCCTCAGGGATGTTACAACAGGAATAAATGTTAAGTTTATGCTGAGCAAAAGTGACACAGTTATAACTGGCTGAGGTCACCATTATGCCTAACATTGGCACTGATAGACGCACTGCCCAGTGGGGTAGCTAGGGTTACAGCTGCCCTGGTCAGCCAAGATTTTTGCCGCCCACATAAAAAAAAATGTCTCACTTCATGAAATAAAAAAAGGGAACCCAGTGCGGACCACCCCCTTCTACGCCACTGGCAATGAACCCACTCCCTCAGAAGAAATTTGTCTGAAAGAAACACTGCTGACTTCTTCCCCCCCCGCAAGTCATGCTAAGCGTTCAAGAAGTTTTATTTAAGACATGAATTGTTCATTTCAGATTCTTGTTAACATATTTTTCTGAAACAATTTTTTGCCATCAGACAAGAGGGCAGACTTTTGCTGTTGTTACTTTTTAAAGCAATGCTCAATTCATGGCACTGAGTTGGTCACTCATCTCTTCACTATATTTTTCAATGACATCAGTTAACAAAATTTCAACCTCTTAGAATCAGGGAGTTAGTAACAGCCAGTTAGTATTTTTAGGAAGACCAGCTTTGATATTTGAGTTCCAAGAATATCAACAGCTGTATTATTGCTCAGTGTTTAAAAAAATAAAATTCAGCCCAATAAAAAGAAATATATATTTACTACTAACACAAAATAAATTTATTTCCGCTCTAATATTACACAACAAAATTCCATTTTACAAAATCAAGTTTATTGGTTCCTTATGTCATGCACATCATCATGGTACTGGTACACTGAGTACAACTCTAGTTAATTCACATAGGTTTAAAAAAAAAAGGGGGAGAGCACGCACATGAAAGTTTTATTAATATTGTGTGGGGAATCACAAACTGAATTGAAACAATGGATAAACTAGGCTTGACAATCAGTTATAATATTTAATTCTTAAAATATTCTTTTAAATGGTCTGATTCTGATGTTAGATGTGAGCATATTTCATTTTTATGAGTGTAGAGGTAAGAAATATCTACTTGGTAAAAAAAAAGTTGTTTACAAATGTTCTCAATAATATAAGAAATATTAGACTTGATATCACATGATTTACTGGAATAAAAAAAAATAAAAGTGAATTTGCATTATTATTATTATACACTTGTAATACATCTCCAAACAGTAAGCATTTAAATATAAAAAAAAGGCTTGCATGGCATGTTGGTCAGAGTTGTTTTTCTCTCAAATCACTAATGTTTTTATGCACCTTTCTTGTTTTGTGTTGACATTTTTGAAAGAGGAATTGTGACTGGAGTTTAAAAAAAATCAAAATGATTTCATTTCATTGAGTTTTTAAAGCCATTACAAATTTTATCACAGAATTAAGTAAAAAGATACTGAATATAGAACAGAGCCCTCAAAAATAAGCAACTTGAATCTCAAACTTTGTTATTAATTAAATAAAATCTAAAGAAACGTTATCTTGAAAGGGAGGAATTTATTTTCTCTTTAAAGCAACACATCTGCTGGAAAGTGTTCATCACTATTTGGTCAAATCCATCTGTTAAAATTCAATGCACTTCACCAAAGAATTTGTGCTTCTCCAATTTAAAAAAAAAGGCTCATCAATTAAAAGAATATTTAGAGCGGAGAAGTAATGCAGAACTCATAGTCTATTTTTGTAAAGTAAATAGAACAAGCGGCTAATCTACAAAAGAAAGAAGCATTTACCAAATAAGTTTACTTTGCATTTCAGATAAAATAGAGTTCATAGAAAAGTTTGAAAGTACTAACAGTATTTGTTCAGGTGAAATAAAATTGATACAGTGTGGACTCCAAGCAAGCTCAAAATAGAAAATATTTAAGGGTAATTTTATTTGTGTTACTTGAGTAGTACAGTGAAACCTGGAAATAAGACCAACCCTCGGGCTGCAGCAATAGTGTTGTATTTGCAGGTTCAGACAGTTTAATTATTGTTTTGTGTGGGGGTGAGCTACCATATATGCTCCGAAATTGCAATTTCAAGATTTCACTTTAATTTTATTTTTAAACTGTAATTGCTAAGCAATTGAAACTCATGAAAGCTGCAAAGTAATTCAAATTCAATTTAAATTCAAAGTAAAGAAATATTATTTGAGTCAGATATAGCAAACATTCAAATTGGTAGCAGCATTTGCTTTATACTTTATATGATTATTGAAAAGAAGAGGCTTTAAATTTTTTACTTCTACTTCGAACATTGTTGATTTTACACCTCAAACAATGTGCTTCTAAATAATAATATAACAATAGTTTAAGCTTATCATGTTCATATGGAACATGAAAAGAATTCCTTTGTACACAGTATGTCATTTATTAAAAATAATTTAATATATAATTTGAGCAGACAGAGCTAATAAATAATTTCTTTTTATATTTTTGAAAAGAGTTTTTAATACAATTAAATGATCATTTTATTTAAAGGAAACTGATGTAATCTAATCCAAAGCCAAGGTACAACACATATTGCAATAGAGGACTGGTATTAAATAAAGCTTACAGTGAATCATTATGTCCATGCACTAAAAAAACTAACAATTTCAGGCTAAGATGTCCCCAAAGACCTTAATATGATACAAAATATCATCAAAAAATTTTCTATCATCATTATTCAGCAAGCAGTGAAAATGTATAGACTATATATTCTTTTTTAAAAATTAAATTCTACAAGTTATCAATAAGGAATTGCTCTTTATTAACAAGTTAATATTTAATTCATTTCAGACTCTTCCTGACAAATTAACCAAAGAAATGTTACTGCCTTTCATAGCTGATCAAAATACCTTCATTTTTTTTCTAATACAAGACTAGAGGACTAACTGAAATTTTAATTCTGTACTTTTAAAACCTTTGTCATGGTTAATTGTCTTATTATTTATTGGTTATCGTAAGACACGGGCATGAAATAAGCCAACATAAAAATTTAACTTAAACAAAGAAAAGAGAAATGTTTAAAATGATCAACACATTAGCCATTAAACTGAAATACTTTGTTAATAAATGAAATTTATCATACAACAGATCTTAATTAAAGTACTCTTTAAAGTGAAATATTCACAGTAAAATATAAGAAAAAAAACATTTTAAACAAAAAAACACATGGCATATTTTATTCAAACCAAAACATACTTTTTAGGTAAACTCACTTTGTACTATGGCAACAGTCTCACAACATTGTTCTTATCTCAAGTGACGGTAACAGATCAAGTGAATACTATTTAAAGAAAAAACAAAATCCAACCCTTTGAATAACAATTTCTCATTTCTTATATTGTTACTGATATGCCAAACAGTCAATGAAAATATATGTGTGTGTACAATTCTGCTTTACCGAGATTAAATTTTTATGTATATTAAAGTTCAATATTTGCAAAAAAGTATTACAGAAGCATGAATAATTGCAATTGATTCTATTATCATCTTGGAGAATAAGTATATCATGTCATTTGAAATATAACTGCAATTGATGCACATTTACATTTTACTGAATTAGCCTGTGAAATATGGTGATGTGTTCAATTAAATTAAAAAGATTTTTTTTACCTTGATTTACAATAACATTTATTATTATTATTTTCGTTTGTGAATTATTTGGTTTTACAATGGCAATGTAATTATCTACACAATAAAAGAAAAGTAAAGTTAATATCAAACTTAGGTGGAGCCGACATAATTATTAGCTAAATTAATGTGAGTTAGAACAGAAGATTGTGAAAAAACATGGAAAAATGTTAACCGCAGGTGAAACATGTTCACTGTCCATCTAAACACAATTATAATTATAATCAGTCAGCCATGTGCTTGTGCTCATAAGAAAAAAATAAAACATCACTAACAATTTTTGTTAATTGCAGCACTCATAATTAAATATAGATAATACTTCATTAAACTCTTTTGGAGTTGGGAAAAAATTTCACTAATTACTGAAAAGTAATGTATGCTAAACTAATAAAAATGTCAAGTCAAATAGATACATTGCTTAAATTGATTGCTAAGAGCAAGAAAATAATAAAATCAAAATGTGCTGAATTATATTTTTAACATTACCAATATTCAAACTTGCACAATGCTCGTATCACAATCAGAGCCACCTTCACTCTCATCCAAGTCAGCAGTAGGTCTACTTCTTATTGAGCTCTGTGACTGCAGTTGTTGCAGGCTTGCTCTGACGTTCTCAAGCCTGGTTGCATCTTCCATTGATGTACTTAGTTGTTCAGGTGTGTCATAGCCTCGACTGGAGCCATTAGAGCCTCCTTGTGGGCTGATAGAGAGGGAGGAGCTATCAACAAGGCGCAGGCGTTCCAGGTGTACAGACAAATCACGTTCTGTGGTGGCAGAATTTGGAGGACTTTCTGATGGGGTCATTGGCGTTTGGGGGGTGTTATGAGGTGTTGGGGGCGACAATGACTGGTGGTCACCAGATCGATCAACCTGCTGTATTGGAATAGAGTGACGTGCTACTGTACTCGGTCCACCACTATTTTCATGTCCATCTGCACCTGGCCGATCAGAGTCAATACCAGAAGATTCACTTAAAATTTTCAAGCCTGCTACACCTTTACGACCAGCAAGATTGATGAGATCACGCTTGATCCTTCTTTTCTTGGTTCGGTCATTTCTTCTGGATTGAACCATGTTCATAAGGTCAATAATGTAGACATAGCCAGCAATAAGTAACTCACATGAGGAATGTCCAGCTTTGTGATAAATCTCTAGCTCTCTAGAAGTGCGATCATCATACTGCCACCATCCATTCACACCTTCATAGAACCAGCTGTAGCCATCATCAAATGTCAAAGGTTGATCAAGGTCATCACGCCTCACTAGATTTGGGCGACAGAAAAAGTCTGGTGGAATTTGTTGTCTGCACAATGCACAGCGTTTACTTCTACTAGCAACTCCTTTGACACACAGGAAGCAGAAAATATGACGACAAGGCAACTGCACAGGATAAATGCATGTCTGAAGGCACACAGGGCATTCCAGGACCTCTGCTGTCCCATCTAAAAAATAAAATAGAATAATTTTGATGTCATTATTAATTTTAAATCCACTCATATACTCAATATGGACTATGAAGGGTATTACTAGAAGCTTGTCCTAGATAATAATATCCCATACAAGTTTATATATAATTAACTAAGCAGACCGTTATTTATAAAGCTCATATAAGGAAACATGAATTAAGGGCCATCAGTACTTGATTCTAGATAGCAGACATTTTCATTAAGATTGGTCTAGATCCATCCACCCATGCAGGAGCCTTTGTTTGAACTATATTTATATAGATCATATAAGAAAAAAAAAAAATTTGGGCCCAAGGACCCAAAAGGAATATTTTGTAAAGTTGAAACCTCTTCCCCCCTATTTCATTCTGGATAATGATGGACATGTGTGCCAAGTTTGGTCCACATCCATCAATCCATGTAGAGATGTATGCTGAACAAATAGACCAATTTTCAATTTCATATACATATAACATATACATTTACCAGCGTTGCCAGGGATTACATTCAGGAAAAACATACAGCTTTACATTTAGCCACAAGAAATGTATAAATGATGAATTCAGTGGTACCAATACAGAGAAATTTCCCAGGATATAGAAACCTATAGAAATAAACTTATTTTCCCATAAGCTTTAAGATCCTAATATAGTTCCCTATGAAACAGTATAGAACTCTTTCGGGAAAATTCTAGATTTATTTTATTCTCCTCCCCCCCCCCCCCCGTCTTACTACAAATGACGTAAGAATGTGCCATTTTAGTTATGCCTTGAATAGGGGCCCTAATAAAAATTAGATAAATAATGGAGAGGAATTTAAATATATGTTGGAAAATGCCAGAGATCTAGCCATGTAAGTTATCAAACTTTCATTAAAATTCTAGACCAGCCCCTAATGGAGTGGATATTATTACTGTTAAGCCCAGTGATATATCAATAGGAACTATGAAGAGTATGGGCTAACAAGCCTGGCCTAGATACATCAATTCTTATAGAACCTATATTGTCATCTAAGCCTATTGGTATTTATATAGGCTATAATAGGAAATATGAAATAGGGCCTCTGGCCTCGAGTTAGTGGATGAGTTCAATACCCACCAATATCTGAATATGGATCAAGCGAATGTGTACTAATTTTGGTCTAGATCCATGCACCCATGCAATAGCCAATGTTTGAAATTATATTTATAAAAATCATCTCAGAAAGAAATAAAATTTGTGGCCCCGGCAGGGGTATTTTAAAAAGTTTAAAAGCCCCTAGTATTTATTCTGGATAATTATAGATAGGTGTGCCCCACGTTTGGTCAAGATCCATCAATCCATATAGAAACTTATGTGGAAAAAACGCACATATGATTTGATATGCTATTCTTTTCTTCAACCTATCATATGTGACATGGCATAATAAGACTTTAAAACTATTGGCTAAGAAACACAAGTTAAATTTAATTTCTCAGGCAACATTTAGAGTCACAACTTTAAGCAGATTCAAGAATGAGATTGTCTGTCCCAGTTTCAGAAGCTACTGACCATTTTGCAAAATAAATTGCATGAAGGAAAAAATCTTATGTATATTACGTTTAGCTTTATTTTTACATTTAAAAAAAATCCAATCCAAAGCCTGTCATGCAAAAATGTTTAATATCTGCAATCACTTCAAATGAAAACTTTATAATTTCACATCCATATGAGTTGGATCTTCAAGGTAAAGTTGTAAAAAAAAAATTTGATACATGCCATGAGGTCAATTTCAATCAAATCAAACAAAATATGCCTCAAACAAGGCCCTCATAATCAATTTCATCGCAAAACTTGCATACAGTGAGCATTGTGTTTGGTCATCCTTAAAATAAATTGATTTTATTATTCAAAATATAAAAAATATATCAAATTGAAAATTAATCAGATAAATATTAGTTTCCAACATCTTGTCTTATATTTATGGACAAAGCCTTTGGCAGCTTGATCTTGTACCCATAATAAATTATTCGGTAAATGGTCATTGAAAATGCCACTATTTTATCAGTGGCCGCCATCTTGGTTGACATGTCACATGAAGTCATCTATCCCTATGCCTAACCTGAACCCTAAATCGATCCCAATGCCTAGCCTGAGCCCTAAATCGATCCCTAAATACTAAATTAATTTAGTAAAAATCAACAAAGGGAATTCACTCCCTGGAAAATAAGTCTTGGCATCTTGAATGATCATTAGCCAATTATTATTATTCAATTAACGGTGGTGCTTAAAAAGACTAAACTAATAGTAAAAAAATAGTAATAGTAATACACTTTTTTAACATAATATAGTTAATAGTGAACATCCAGTTGTTTAGTTTTATTAAAATTAAAAGTTGATATAATATTATTATTAATGATATAATTTTGATACACTTTGACTATCATATTTTAAAATGTATTATTTTATATTATAACATATGTGGGAATGTGTAATAAAATTTGATCATTGTATTATTAGTTAAAGTTAATTGAGTACTGATTACTTTATACTTTATAACTTTACTACTTTACACTGACCGTCTTGTCTAGCCCCATCAACATCATTATTAGTAGCGTGATTTTCTTTTAGACCTCCTTTAAATTTCTCATCAATGTCCAGTTTATCAATAGCATTACAGTCGTCTCCATTTTCGGTATCTTGCAAAGCAAATTCGTTTTCCATGTTTCTTAAACACCTACACGTTGTTCTTTGTTTATGATAACAAATATTCACTATTGAACAACAGCCATTTTGTGCTTACAACGAGTCAAAAAGAAATGCCAAGTTGTCTGTTGTGAAATAAAACTTTTCATAAAATAAATTATTTTGATGTTCCGGTATAAAGTTTTTTTTTTCTTTCCCTTTTTTTTCCATTAAGAATTGAGTTTTATGTTTATTTCTACATTGAAAAGTAGACATACTAGTAAGCAAATACCATTAATGGTGACTACATTTGTAAAGACATTAACAATATCAAGGGCAATTAGGGAAATTTGAACAATATTTTTCTAATTGTTTAAATATTAATTATGTAGACATAATTATTGTAAATATAAAAAATTCAAAGTATGCTCATAATTATTAACGAAGAATGATTATTCAAGTCTATTTTAAAAGGTAGGCCTTCGTTTTAATATCCCTTCTGACTTTTGAGAAGCCTTGAAAGTTATGACTATTCTTAAAGTCTTAACAGCTTATAGAAATGTATTCGTATTAAAAATGACATTTTAATTATTTTAACTATATTTTCAACATTGAGAGTTAAATTATCAGTTATTATGAAATATTACTTTATTGTTCATCTAAGTTATGGTATATTTAATTTTAAATAGCATCAAATCAAATCTAAATCTGGCTTCCCCGGGGGATACCTGTAAGAAAATGGCTGAGTTTGATCTCACTACCACGCTTGGGCAATATTTAGATCGCCATTTGGTGTTTCCTTTGCTGGAATTCTTAACAGTTAAAGGGGTACATTGCACTAAATAATATTCTAAAATATTAAAATGCTTATGATATATAAGCTATGTTAAAAATATATATTACATCAGTTGTTTAAATTTGTATGCTTCAACAGCTGCCGGTAAAATTAGTCTGAGATGATTAGTCTTAGTCATTCATTAGTACAAACAACCAACACAAACTGTAAACTTGTCATATTGTGTAACTTTTAAATTAACATTTTATAAAAGATGTTGAGAGTTGAAATCAAAATGAGAGAAATGTGTTGTGTTGTGTTGTCGCCATTTCTTCGAAAGTATCTAGTTATACTACCCGGTATTTTATGTTTATATTAGACTAGATACTTTGGTCAAAAATTTAAACATTTTGTAAAAATAAACCGGTAAAAGTGCAGTTCAGGTGCGTATATTATTTCTTAGCGCATTTCGTATTTTATCATGTAAACTTACGTGTATTCTTTATTAATTAAATCCAGGCAGTTATAGTTAATTAATCCTGACTAATACAGCACTTTTTTTCTTTTTTCTTTGATTTCTAAATCGTCTTTACACCCCAAACCAAAGACGCATAGCCCCTTTTGCTTTGTTTTTTTTTTCCNGGGGGGAGGGGGGAACTTAGATGTTCTGTTTTGGGATTGGTGCCGAAAATTCGTGTTTTTCTCTTACATGTGATGTATAGATGTAATTCCATATGCATATATTCTAAAGGGTGGTGAACTCATGAATTTAATTTTTCCTAAAACTAGATAAATACACGGTGTCGCTCATGATGGCATTAAAAAATTAATTATTTTTTTTAGACGGAAGGATGCCATACATATATATAGCTAACATCTAAATTAATTGGTCTGTAAAAAACACATAAATAATTGTTTTTTTTTTATTTTCTCTTCTCCCATGAAAAAACTAATAAAATACAATCCGAAATGTATCCCGATCCCCCGTGGTATCCCTTCCCAGTTTTGATCCCATTCTCCAGTATGCGATCACTTCATATAGATCTCGATACAATAGGATCCCATTTCCCCAAAATGATCCTGTTTCCCCATTGGGATCCCAACACATGGGATCCCTATCCCAATGGAATCCAATTTCCCGTTGGGAACCTGAACCCAGTGGGATCCAGTTTTCCAATGGAATCCAATTTCCCGCTGGGAACCTGAACCCAGTGGGATCCAGTTTTCCCGATGGGATCCCATACCTGTAGAGATCCTGTTCTTGGTTGGATCATCCTGTTCTTGGTTGAATCTCTATTTCCAATGGGATCTCTATTTCCGGTGGCATCTCTATTTCCAGTGGGATCCCATTCCTTAATGACACTAATGATCGGCATTTCGCATGCTCCCACCACCCTTTGTTCTCTCAGTGCTCGGAAAAAATGTACCGATATTCCTTTGAAGTTGAAGCCTTGGTTTGGGGACAGATGGGGGGGGGGGATTAGAAATGGATTAACGATCAAGGCACCGACCGAACACACTTATTTCCTGGAGTGGAGCTTTTAAAAAAAAGGGGGGGGGTGAGGAGGGGGTTCCACGAATTTGTGCCAATGTGTGATCATGTGTTCAATTTGTTTTAAACATTTGTGAGAATGCAGAAATGGGGGAAATCGGCCTTGATAGCGTGGGGTCACTTATTGGTTGCCATCTCAAAATGGTAAGCAAATACGTTGGCCGTTATGGGTTAGGATTAGGCTAGTGCTTATATATAATGAGACGGACCAATTTTGCGGTCAGGACGACCAAGATGAACAAGAATTGAAATTGTTGATCCCACGAAAATTTTAAATGATGCAGCTAGAGACCGACCGAATTTCGGCTTCGGTTTCGGCGCCGAAAGTTGCCATATGATCACTTTCGGCCTACCGAAACTGAAAAGTTCACTTTCGGCTTCATTTCGGTGTCGGCCAAAAGAGAAAAGTTAACTTTCGGTTTAATTTCGGTTTCATCCGAAAATGACTTGGACTTTCGGCCGTATGTCCGACCGAAATTGACTTAGTTTTTTGGTCATCTACCAGAAGTCAGACTGTCTGTCGCTAGACCGACAATCTGATATTCATTAGTGCTCGCGTCTTGCTGCCATTGTATGTTAAATGACTAAATAATACTCAGCGAAAGCTGCCCACGGCTGCATGATGACCTACTGGTCCTATATTTCCATAAATTTACATCACCGTTATCAGTATGGAGAATTTAATCTCTTATTCAAGTGTATGGCTCGTTCTAAAACAGTACACAACAAAAAGACGATACAAAATGATAACAATAACCAAGAATACGATACTCAAACCATTTTTAGTCTTGTTCCAGCACTTAATAATCATCTCGGCGGCCACGTTTCTCAGTATTGCAGAATTACTTATACTGATATACATTTCATGAAGTTTCTATATTTTCTAGAAGGTTCTATTTTTCATTACGCACGGGTACCCCCTTCCACGTCCCCACTCCACCTTCTTTTTTTCCCCCCTCAGAGTGCTCGAAATAAAAGGGTTGTCCCTTGAAGTCTTTGGGAAGGTTGGGGGGGGGGTAGAAGATGATCACCAACTAAGGCAGCGGACACAAGTCATCATTGTCCTGGAGTGAAGCTGAAAAAAATGTGGAAAAAGGGGGGGGGGCACGAATACGGTACGAGCCATATGATTGATCACGTGTCCACTTTAAAAAAAAAAAAAAATTATGACGTTGCAGAAATGCGGGAAATCGGAATAATAGTGTGGGGTCATTTATTGATAGTCATCTCATACTGATGGCTGCAAACACGTTGTCCGTGATTGGTCAGCTCTAATTTGAGCAACCCCTCCCCTTTTTCCGTATGCAAATGCGCTTATTAATGGTGACTGATTTGCGCTGAGTAAAGTGAGGGCTAGTGATTAGTAATAAGACGGACTCGTTTTGCGGTATTGCGGGTAGTGGGATCATTTTGTTAAAAATGGCAGGACGACCAAGAATGTTTATCCAACGGAAATTTTTAGCATTTTTGTTTATTCGCGCACTTTGTGAGACAACAAATAACGTTAATACAACTATGGAATTTCTCGTAAGGCGCTCGTAACCATTGCTATGTGGCTTGTAAACTGGCTACGTGTGTCAAGTATGTGAGTTCCCTATAATTACCGGGATCTGGATCTCACCGGAAACGGGAACNTAAACCAAGAGTTCACAACATTAGCATTACCCTCAATTTGAAAGTCTTCATTAATTCCCTGGTTGTTTTCAGCAGTTTCAGTGTCAAATTCACTGCTAGAATATCAAAATTACTAAGCACAGTTTGATCACTGTCAGACATGTTCGAAATTCACGATGTAACTACACACACACACAAAAATTCCTGCAAACAAATAAATTGAGTTCACCTTCAATGAACGCCGCCATTACAATGCCGGGATGTGCAGGAATACGTGTGAATAATTTTGATTCGCTGGTACAACGCCAAGCCAGCCAATCGTGAGGCTCGATCTATCAGGCCGACGGCTCGGACTTGACGTCTTTCTCGCTAGTGTACCTCGGGCCGATAGATCGGCCCTTACGTCTCCAGAGGGTTAAACTGGAATGTTTTAATTTGAGCTTTAAAAACACTGTAGAGTCCATATTATAAATGATCAGAAATTTCTGTGTGCAACACGTTGTCATTGGCAACCATTCACAGCCACTTGCATAACGGCTATATCGTAGTACTATCTCAGAGTTTCATTCATAAGTGTTTGCCGTGTGCAAAAACTATTAAACCATTGGTCAATGAAAGCTTTAATTAATTATTCATGTGCCAAAGTTGAAAGTTTAAAATAAATCGACCCTAAACAGTATTTTAGTGATAAGGGAATGCCTTAGCCTTATATAAACTATATAGTCATTGCGCATGACGTGATCGGCGGAATGAGGTCACAGAATGTGGAGATGCAGTCCATGTTAAAAAAGGACAAACCAAGTCGTACTTTAAAAATTCATAACTTTAAAACTACAACAGCTAAAAATATAATTTTGGTGTTATAATTCTGTACAAATTTAGCTCTATTCAACTATGCCATTGGTTTATTTTTACAAAATGTTTAAATTTTTGAAAAAAGTATCTACCTATGGCATAGTTGAATAGAGCTAATTTTTTACAGAATTACAACACCAAAATCATATTTTTAGCTGTTGTAGTTTAAAAGTTATGAATTTTTAAAGTACAATTTCGTTTGTCCTTTCTATAAATATGGACCCCCCACATCTCAACATTCTGTGACCCAATTCCGCATCATGAGCTATATAACTTACTCTCGTTTTAATGGTAATTTTATATGACTTTTATTTTCACAACTTATGCTGTATTAAAAAATAATTTTAATAATATGTTATACAATTATAAATTGTAGCTTGCACTATGTTTATCAGTAAATATATATAATGTAGTATTATATGGCTTTTATTTTTACCAACAAATCTACAATGTCCATTTTACTGGTATATGCTATATAGTAAAATACTATTTGGGGACTACTTATTTTGAACTTTTAACTTTGACACATGATTAATTAATTAAAGCTTTCCCTAGACCAATGGTTTAATAGTTTTTGCACACGCCAAACTCTTACGACTGAAACTCTTATTTAGTACTACAATACAGCCGTTATGCAAGTGGCTGTGAATGGTTGCCAATGACAACGTGTTGCACAGGGAAAATTCTGATCATTTATAATATGGACTCTACTACTACTGGGTTTTTGAACCTCAAATTAAAATATTCTTTAAATTACATCTGATTTCATTCTAAAACATAAGTTATCCAAATTTTTTATGTAAATAGTGGTAATAATTAAATATTTCCTTAGTATCGGCATGTGCCGCCATTAAAAAGGCGTAGCCGCCGTGGCTCACGCAATGTCGAAAATAGGCTGAGTGACCTTATGGTAATGCAAGTTACGGGGACAAGAGAAACGAATGTTGACACAACCTACATCAATGAGAATTGGCACAAATATACTTCAATATCTAATATGAAAGACCTTGTCTTATTATTTCACAAAAAAATTTTTTTGTGAAGATGCCTAATACTAATATATACCAAAGATTTTCAAAATAAAGGTCGGTTGAAAACACAAAATAACTGGATTGAAATGAAGACCAACGTCTTCCAAAGTGAAAAGGCGGAAGCGGAACTCGATTAGATGTCAAAAGTACTCATTTATTAATGAATTGACACATTAAAAAGTTGGATTTTACTGCTCGACACCCATTTCTGATACAAATTTTGAAGTTGTCTCCCTTGCTATACCGAAGTACCTATTGTGGTCCGCTATAACTTAGTCAACATCTCTAAAAAAGTGAAAGTCAAAGTAATTTTACAAGATTATATTATGGCTGCTTTATTAACTTTTATTTTGTGAATTTTGTCTTGAAGTTATATGATGAAAAAGAAATGCTTATGGGCAAGTTGGATCTCCTTAGCAACACCAACATGGTTGACTTTGCTATGGATGTCCATCGCAACCTGTATCCAGATCAATCTGTGCCCCTAGGTATGTCAAAGTTTGACACTTTTCCCAGTCAATTATTTAGAATCTGTATTCTGCTTATGACTTAAATAAAAAATGTTCTAAGATGAAGGCTATTTTTAGGCCTTTATTATAGGCTAAGAGTAACACTACTAAGAGTTTAACAAATAAAATTAAAAATTTTATGATTAAGCTGCACATTGAATAATCCATTTATAAAAGTTTTACATCCTTTGATTGACAGTCTTGAAGGATAAACGCCAGGAAGTTGTTGCACAGTTGAAAAACCTTCAGGCCAAAACAGACAGCATCACAGAGATATTTGAAAAGCCAGAGGTTCAGCGGCAAATTCAAGCCTCTAGGTAATTCACATGTATAAAGTTTGAAGCAGAAATTTTTTATTTTGAGGTGTAATATACTTTTCAATTTAATGACATGTGGAATTTGCTTTGAAGACCTTAAATATTTGTGAATTGTCTGTTCAATTATTTTAAAGATATTGTTAATTTCCAATTGCAGAGATGGTCGCCAACTCTATGACTTCCTCTCTAAGGAGTATGGGGTGAGTTAAAAATTACATAATGTAGCTTTATGAAAAATATAATAATATCTAGTCATTGGATTTTATGTAAAAAAAATCTAAATGTATTAATTTATTTACTGCTAATTATTTGAATGAGTTGAAACAAATTTCTATATTACTATTTATTTCTAGTTCAAGCATGATATGATCAACACCCTTTATGATTATGCCAAATTTCAATATGAATGTGGAAACTATTCAGGAGCTGCAGAGTTCCTCTATTTTGTCAGAGTTTTGGTAAGTTCTGTTTGTAAAAGAAATTATTATATTATATTTTTCTTGGCCTTTAACCCAATTATACACCACAATTTTTAGTGGAATGTAGTAAAATTAAGGGACAAAATTACATTCAACCTGATTATTTTCAACTTTAAAACTCCACTTTCTGTTTATCAAACCTTTTTCATGTAGCTGGAGTATGTTTTTATTTATAAAATAGTGATAAAAAATTATAGAGAGAAAATTTTAAGGGTAATATGACATTTTTATGTAAAAGTAACAATAACTAAAATATAAAAATTTCTACACACCAGCCCATAAATCAGGCCAGGCCATAAAAAGACCTGTTTACTCTTACAATTTTGGCGTACAATATACAATTTTTAAATATCTTTTACCATTTTACGTCGAGACTCGCCAAAACGACGATTTTCAGAGAATCTGTGAAAAAATAGCAACGTAATTTTTTCTGATAAAAAAAAATTGAATAAATTTTCAGTTATGGAAATTTTAGCCTTTTCTAATAAAGATCTGGCAGTGAATGGTCCAAGAAAAACAATTGGTTGAAATTTTTTTCAAGTTGGGACCTTCATTCATTATATTATGTATGCACTGATAAGGGAGGTGGCGGTTGTTGATTAAGGAGATTTGTGGAATACACGATGCATGTGTAGGGGTATTGGTGGGAGTGTCAAGACTATAAAAATATCACCACAATGTATCATATTGATGGTGATGATGGTCATATTGATGCTTTGTGTGTCACAGTGAACTAGCTAGCTGTGTCAACAGTAATATTTAGACTATTCGCCCTAGTAGGGCGACTTCATTCATCATCCCATTGGACTGCTACCAAGCGCGTGTTCGTCTGAACTGCTGCGATTGTGAAAGCGGAGAAAACTAGAGATGTAAGGTCTAGTCAGCGGCATTTAAAAAATATCTTTAGAACTCTCTTTAGAAGCAACTCTATAGCCTCAACGATTTTAATACAACAGTTTGGTATCACTACTCCTACTACACACCCAAACCAAACACTTTTTTAAAAAAGTTTACGTTAGTTTAATAGTCTATAGCAGGCCTGCACAACTCAAAATGTAAGGCGGGTCGTTAATACTTTATGAAAAACTTGTGCGTGCCAAAAGAAAATCGGACAAGGGGGAAAGCTATTAAGAAAATAAGAATAAAGAATATGGCGGCCCGCAGGTCGAATGTTGTGCAGGTCTAGCTATAGTAAATGTTAATGGAAAAAAATCAGGTGCATATTGGATAGGCCACGGCACAATTTTTTTTCCTGTTAATGAGGGTGGGGAAAGGTTGGTTAGTCACCAGCACGGAAAGACGTATTAGTGGACTACAGAAAAAACAAGCAAAAAATGCAATAAATGTGGTACAACCTGCCAGAAATTTCAAAGAAAGGAAGTTGAAACTCTTCTGAATAAAAGTTTGTAAAGTTATAAATAAAATATTTGACTGTAAAAGTTAAAACATTAAAGCCATGAAACAAACCAGTGATAACGCACTCTGTGGCTAAACATATTCATGCAAAATCGGGGTGATGCATTCTACAGTGAAACATATCGAATGGGTTATGGAAAATATGGTTTAAATAAATCTTGAGTAACTTGATTTAGATAAACATATGTTAAACAGATGTTCTCTTGAGTATTACAGACCTGTTTACTCTTACTATTTTGGCGTACAATGTACGATTTTGAGGTGGAAACATTATAAATACTGTATGTTTATTTTTTACTATAAATATAAGGAATTGAGCGATTTTGTGAAGATGTACGATTTTAAGAATTTTAGGGTAAACTGGTCTGGTATTACTTATAGCTTTATATTTCTTCCTCTTCATAAGATAATAGTGTAGCTTCTTTATAGTTGGCGCTTTCTTGAATGTCTAATGAGGCCTGGAATGGCAGTCTCAAATGTACTTGAATGAACACCATTACTTTTGCCTTACGTAATACTCTTTTTTTTTTGGTATTTCTTTTCACACATCTTTTGCTTATTTGATTCCTGCATTCACTGCTGTTACGCAGCCAGAATGGTTTTCAACGATAATCTTAAATTCACCACTTTGTATTGCTATTTGCATGCTCTGATTAACAATAAATTTTCTTTTAAATAACAGATCCCACCAAATGATCGCAACTTCCTTAATGCATGCTGGGGAAAGCTGGCTTCTGAAATCCTGATGCAAAACTGGGAATATGCTTTAGAGGATCTGAACAAAGTTAAAGACCTTATAGACAGCAATGTAAGGGACTTTTAAATCATTACATTGCTTAATTTTTTAATAGGTTTAATCATTTGATTTATTTTGATCTTAATTAAATAAAACAGGGTAAAATCTAAGTTTAAAAAATATATATATTAAGTAGCTGTCAAAACAGCACTTAAAGAAAAGGGTTTCTTATTCAATATTGGATGAGACTTATTTTAGGTTTTCTAGTTGACTCTTTATTTTTTTTAAATCTGTCTTTGCAAGAATAAGAAAATGAAACATTTCTGTTAGTAACTAGTTGGGTTGAACATTTTGAGTTGAACATGTCTTTATTAATTTTTTAATCTAGTCTTTCAACTCTGACCTGATGACATTGCAACAAAGAACATGGGTGATCCATTGGAGTTTATTTGTCTACTTCAATCATCCGAAAGGCAGAGATCTCATCATAGATCAGTTCCTATACACACCTACGTAAGAATACCACTTTGTTAACTGTCATTTCTCTACCCCTGCCTAAATTTTACACATATTTTTTCCTCATTTAACTAACAATTTTCTCAAATTATTGTTTTTGTTACTTTTCTGTCTTCTTTTTGGTTTTGTTTACTGTGGCAGTATTTCTGTTAATTCAAAAAAAACAAAATTCCAGTTTTATTCCTGAAGAAAAAGATCATTGTACCGTTACAAATGGTCATTATTGAATTATTGTCCAGTTTCCTTTAAATTATTTTATTAACAAGTGAAAAATAATGTCTTCATATTTCAAAAGCTTAAAAATTTATTACAGTTTCAAACTTGCAACTTGGTTACACTTTTAAAACTTCATTCATTCATTTAATGGCCATCAGTATTTACACCTTAGTGTTTTCCAACAGTTACCTAAATGCTATCCAGACAACATGTCCCCATGTATTGAGGTATCTCACAACAGCTGTTATTACCAACAAACAAAGAAGAAGAGCTGTGCTCAAAGATCTGGTCAAGGTCATTCAGCAGGTCAGTAATAACTCATGTATATGGTGCTTATTGTGTAAGTCTATACTATTAAAATGGCTAGTTCTATGATAGTATTCTATATAATTTCATATTATTTATAATACCCGGTACTTAAAAAAAAAAAATTATGGAATTTAATTTTATGTTAAATAACTTTGCCTTAAATATTAGCACTAAACTCAGAAAGAACACAATTTTAAAGTCTTTTATTTTACCAGGAGTCATACACCTACAAAGATCCCATCACAGAGTTTGTGCAGTGTCTCTATGTAGATTTTGATTTTGATGGAGCACAGAAAAAGTTAAGAGAGTGTGAAACTGTAAGTCATGCTATTTGTTAATATTATTGTATTTCTTATTAAAATATTCATTATTAGGATTTAGTTGGAGTTTTTTTGAAATGGTTCTAAACATTAGTGTACCTTTATGCTCAAGATTTAAATGTAACCTTTTTTTTATTTTATAAAAAGTAAAATTTTACTTCAGTGTTGCTTTTCCTCTATCAGGTTCTGTTCAATGATTTCTTTTTGGTGGCCTGCTTGGAAGACTTCATTGAAAATGCACGTCTACTGATATTTGAGACATTTTGTCGAATACATGAGTGTATAAGCATCAAGTGAGAATGACTTTCATTGTACTATTTACCCATTCGGTCCCGTAACATTTATAGTATAAACAACCATTACTGACTCATCCTATTATTTGATAACAGAGCTGTCACCCATTTAAATGAGTACATAGTAGTCTCGGGTAGTTGATATGTAGCTTACTGCCAAATATATTGTCATTATGTTGATAAGCTAAGGAAAAATGGTAATATGAATAATAACTTTAGTTTCTTTAAAATCGATTAAACGATGTGTCTGGTCAAATTAAGATAGCACGTTGTTTGAAGTTGTTGGGGATAATGCGCACAAAAAAAACTTAGATTTAGACATAATTTTGAATATGGTGGACCTGCCACTGGTGTTGGTACTGAGCGTGGGAGATAACTTACACAACTAAAGTATTGGAGATAATGTGATATTATGCGGCCCTCGAATGCATTTAGAAATAAAAAAATTTTCTTTGTTTAGTTATTTTGTTGACTTTTACAGAATTTCATGTACGTTATAATTGTTTTAACATTTTTTATCAACTTTCTAATTTTCAATTTTTGTAAACAGTCCCTGACATTTTTATGTAATGCTAAAATGTGAATTTACCAATTTTGATAAAAAGAAATGTTTATCAACATGTAAAAGTTGGACAACATATACATGCGGCGCCCCCCCCCCCCCCCCAATATCTTTACATTTGTCAATGTGGCCCTCCGCATAAAAAGTTCGCCCCACCCTGGTCTAAGAAATTACAATTACAACTTAATAATAATTTGTGTGTTTGTATCTTAAAAATAGATTTGTAACAAACTGTTTAACTAAATAAAAAAAAATTCATAACTTAGAGCTTAGCTAGCTGGTATATAGCTAATATTTTATCTATCTTTTGTTTCTCCTTATGGTATTATGGTTATGCATTTAAAATAGATACAATCTTTTCTTTCATAGCATGTTGGCTGAAAAACTGAACATGAGTCCAGATGATGCAGAGAAGTGGATTGTTAACCTTATTAGGAATGCCCGTTTGGATGCAAAAATTGATTCTAAACTTGTAAGGTTAATGATAATGAGTTGGTCTTGAATTAAGACGTAGCCAAGATTTTTAAAATTAGTATAAAATTATTAGTTTAAGATTCATTTATCAATTTTGCATTAAGTTTATTTTTTTACAAGAATTTTGGATAAGTTACAATTACATTGAGAACATATGTGTATTTCTCTTGATATTATTGTAGTGTCTTTGCTGACATTTATAATTTCTAAGATAAAGCGTGAATTCATAGGGGTTACTGTTTATGTAAATGGCGAGACACCTACTGTATTGTTAAAATTATATAGAAGAACATGCACGTTAAAAAACATATTTTCCTTAAGCTTAATTGAGTTGAGTGAAGATTCAAAAAGCTTGTAAATAACACCCCATTGTAACAATATTTGTCCAGTTTTCATAAAATCTTATTGATTTCAGGGTCATGTAGTAATGGGTACTCAGGCTGTATCTCCCTACCAGCAAGTGATAGAGAAAACCAAAAACCTCTCCTTTAGATCACAGATGTTGGCACTTAATATTGACAAGAAACTTGGCAACCGACAGGATGTAAGCCACTTTTTAAATTATTTGTAGGGGGCCATCCTTGTATTATATAAGCAAACAAATGTAATATACTCACTCCTGCTCCACCTCTCCATGTTGCACTAATATATTTTTTAAACCCAGCCTCCTGATCATACGTATAAACAAGCTTCTTACAACCTGCATCTCCCCAAAAGAACAACAAAAACTAAACAATTTATTGCATGGGATTACGACATGCAAACATGTCAATTAATCAAAGTCACTGTAAACCATGTTAAAAAATTGTATCTGTATTTTCTCCCCTTTTCACATACAAAGACGTGTGCTAGAATAAAGTACCAGTAGTCTCTAGACTAAATATCACTGTTCTGATATCTAGTAATTTTAATAAGTGGACACATGAAAATACAAAGCAAGAGTATTATTACGATGATTATGGAATATTGCCGATATTTTTTTTTGTCCTGTAAGATAATTAGTAATCATGGCATGGAATTCTCAAATTTTTGGTGACAGTTTGCAATAAATAGGCTATTTATAGACTGTTAGATTTTCAGGGTAGTTGTTGTAGAATTTGTGCATTAATGTATGTAAACATTCTGTTGAGACAAAGCACACACACATATCCCAACCCCTCTCCCTGTAAGCACTTGTACAGAAAACAAGCTCCCCTTTCATTGTATATAAGGATAGTCCTTTGGTGTTAACGGGTATGTCTATCTTCATTAAAAAGAGCTAACAGAATATGTTATAAATGACCAAGTATTTGATTCCTCAACATGTTTTTTATTTCTCCACAGAGTCAGTGGGCTGGTCAGGAGTAGTCCCAATACCAAGAGTAGCGATATTGATTATTGCCAGTTTTGTCATAGCTTGCAAGCATCACAAAATCAGCTCAAAAGGCAATACACGTCAAGGTTCTACAGTTCACTGCCTTTTTTTCTTCTCTATCAAAATAAATTTTTAACTCAAAGACAATTTTATTGACAGCGTGGTCTCTGAGATAAAGTGTTGAATTAGGAAACTATTTGTATTTATTACATTACATTTTCTTCAAAACTATGTATTTTGCTTGTGTAAATACTCCCATGACATATTGTCATGTAAGGCTTGTGAAGAGATATAAGAAAATTCACTGTCAAGACATCACATTTCATGTCTTTGTCCATAGTTTGAACAATTTCTTCACATACTTTCAGAATAAATTATCATGGACAATATGTGTCTTTTTTTATTTATTGAATAATTGTAGAAGTTAATTCTTAAAAAGTAATAGTACCCGGTACTCATCTAGTATTGGTAACTTGCTTATGAATTCTCAGTGAAATTGTGAGTGGAAATTTTTTTAAGTATTTTACCTCAGCATCTACACATGAAAATGAACAATTAACATTTTGCTAGCCTGAACCTAGCAATCATATCATATAAATTTAAATGGAATTCAAATAGATACTTCACAATATTTTCAGAAGAACAGAACTACACACCTTTTTTTCCAGAAAATTATTTGAGCTAGACAGTAAAATGCCATATAGACAACATGACACAGCTGACAAACTAACAAATGAATAATTGCTTGTAGGCAACTTGACAGAGCTGACAACAAACAAATGGATAAATTATTGTATGATACTCGATACTGTATCACAAAGGCAACTTAACAGAGCTGACAACAAATAAATGGATAAATTATTGTATGATACTCGATACTCTATCACAGATGCAACTTGACAGAGCTGACAACCAAAAAATGGATAAATTATTGTATGATACTCGATACTCTATCACAAAGGCAACTTGACAGAGCTGACAACCAACAAATGGATAAATTATTGTATGATATTCAATACTGTATCACAAAGGCAACTTAACAGAACTGACAACCAACAAATGGATAAATTATGGTATGATACTCGATTACTGTATCTCAAACTCAAAGGCAACTTAACAGAGCTGACAACAAACAAATGGATAAATTATTGTATGATACTCTATACTGTATCACAATGGCAACTTAACAGAGCTGACAACAAACAAATGGATAAATTATTGTATGATACTCGATACTCTATCACAAAGGCAACTTGACAGAGCTGGCAACCAACAAATGGATAAATTATTGTATGATATTCAATACTGTATCACAAAGGCAACTTAACAGAACTGACAACCAACAAATGGATAAATTATGGTATGATACTCGATTACTGTATCTCAAACTAAAAGGCAACTTAACAGAGCTGACAACAAACAAATGGATAAATTATTGTATGATACTCTATACTGTATCACAATGGCAACTTAACAGAGCTGACAACAAACAAATGGATAAATTATGGTATGATACTCGATACTGTATCACAAAGGCAACTTAACAGAGCTGACAACAAACAAATGGATAAATGCCTGTATGACATTTAGGCCAAATGACAGCTGACCAACAACAAATGTATTTTAATTTAAACCATTACTCAGTCATTATTTTTACCAAAATAGCATCCATTTACTTGTCACCACATGAATTGGTATTCTTTGGCCAATGTAGGTTGTATGTGTGAGTGAGGCTGGTGCTTTATCACATACTATATGGGATCATTTACATTGGACCTTACAACAAATTCCCCCATAGATATTTGTCATATTCAAAAATATGCACAAGTGGGCATTGATACTGATATATATAATATATATTCATCTGAAGCAAGTTAAAAGACTGAAACTTTCTACAATTTACACTTAAAAATGGCTGTAATAGTAAACTTTATAATTTATAAATAAAATATTGATAACACACAGTAGAATAACAATTCCATTTTTCTGAATTTTGATTAGTCATTATTTCAACTGAAAATATTTGTTCCCGAATGGGTGAAAATGGTCTTAATAATGACGGTTGAATAAAAAGGGTTGAGAATCTCTGTTTGGAAGTCACACAGGTACAGTCTCAGGTTAAAAACAAAAAATTTAAAGTAAACAAACAATGAATAGAAGTATGCAGGTCATTAACTATGATAACTCTGTTACATTTCAGGATATTGATATTATTAGTAATTTTATTTAATATTACTGCCCCTTCCTGAATTTTTCGAGCCTTGAAAAAAATTAGTCTAAATAATTAAGTTATAAAAAGGTCAACTGTTAATTTAAAAAAAAAATTAATTTTGTGTAATTGTGGTATTGTAAATGAATGAGTTTTCAAAAGGAGATATTTCAATGACAAAATATCGAGATATCTGTATTAACAATTAGAATTGTTCTAATAAATATACCACCTATCCAATATTTAAAATTTATTACAATGGAGACTTGCCTTAGCCCTGATGCTTATGGCAAAGAGGTGGGTGGGAGGGGAGCTGCTGGATCAGAGCAGACAGCCAGAGCTCCCATTCGGCTCTAACGGCGCTATCTTTGTTTACACTTTCGCAAATAAAAATTTACCAATTGCTTATTGAAATCTTTCTTCTTTCCACCTTGGTCTTTGAAGTGATGTGTTCTCTGGCCACTTGTCGCCGCCAGTTGGGAGTCTGCCAGTGAGTGCTAGTCAGATTTTCTTTTTCAAATTAACGGTGGAAAGTGGGGAAAAAAGAAAAGAAAGTGTAAATTGTGAGAAATTTAAAGAAGGAGAGACTGAATGTGTGTCGTCATACCGTTATTAGTTTATACTATTTACGTGTTTTAGCGAGAGTTGGAGTGCTGTTGTTTGCAGGTTTAGATGCTGTAAAAACAACCTTTAAATAAAGTGAGAAAATATTGTTTTTCAACAAATAATTGACTAAAATAGCCGCCCCCCCCCCCCACACTTACCCGGAATTAAAACTTCACATTGAAAGTTAAACGCTTACTGAATGGGAGATCCTGTTAATAGAAATTCGATTCGATATTTCAGCTGTAGCAGATCCAGGGTGTTGCTTTTTTGGGCATATGCTTGCTCTACACGCCTGTCTCAGATCTGGTTACTTACGGCAATAAATACTGGGGAGGAGGGAGATTCTTGGGTGCAGTGGTTTTTTCGGAAATTTTCCCCGGGGGAAAGGGGGGGGGTGGCATTTCAGATTTTT